TGGTGGGATCATGGTTCACTGCAGCCCTGACTTCCTGGGCTCAAGCAGTCCTCCCACCTCAGCCTCCCGAGTAGCTGGGACTACAGGCAACTGCCACCGTGTCCAGCTAATTTTCTTGTATTTTTGGTAGAGTCAGGGTCTCCCTATGTTGACCAGGCTGGTCTTGAACTCCTGACCTCAAGTGATCCTCCTGCCTCGGCCTCCCAAAGTGCTGGGGTTACAGGCATGAGCCACCGTGGCTGGCCTCTTGCTCCCGTCTTTGTATCTGTAATTCAAGAACTTTGGAATCAACTTCTCTCTGAGATCACGGAGGAATCAAGATACAAACCGTGTCTAGGCATAAAGGAACTCAGTGGGGTAATGGTAATGTTCTATATCATATCAGCTCTGCCCAATAGAAATAAAATGTGTAATTTTAAATTTCCTACTGGTAATACCAAAAAGAAACCAGGGAAATGCATGTTAATAATATATTTCATTTAACCCAACTTATCAGAATTATTATTTCAGCATGCAGTCAATATAAAAATTATTAATGAGACATTTTGCATTCTTTTTTACATACGAAGTCTTCAAAATCTGGTTTCCTTTACACTCTCAGCACCTCAATGCAGACATTACATTTTCCTCGGAAATACTTGACCTGTATTTAGATTTCATTAACTTTACAGTTGAAAAAGTAGAAGAACATGCTCAAATTCCTCCAGATGTACTTAAAAGCTTTTCAATAACAGAATCAAGTGTTAGTTTTTGGATTTAGATTAAAAATAATTAAAATTAGCCGGGCACAGTGACTTATACCTGTAATCCCAGCACTTTGGGAGGCCGAGGCGGGGGGATCACTTGAGGTCAGGAGTTTGAGACCAGGCTGGCCATCATAGTAAAACACCGTCTCTACTAAAAATACAAAAATTAGCAAGGCATGGTGGTGGGTGCCTGTAATCCAAGCTACTCAGGAGGCTGAGGCAGGAGAATCCCTTGAACCTGGGAGGTGGAGGTTGCAGTGAGCCGAGATTGCACCACTACACTCCAGCCTGGGCAACAGAGTGAGACTCCATCTCAAATAATAATAATAATAATAATAATAATGGAAGAGAATTTAAATCTTACTTCCTATTCTCTCCAGCCTCCTGTCAAAGCGCTCAACAGTCGAATGTGGCTAGTAGCTGTCACACTGGACCACACAGTTCTATGTCCTCATAAGGGCTTGGGTTACACAATATGTACATTTGTCAAAACTCATTGCATTATATAATTTTTAAATCATTTACTTATGTGTGTATGTATTTATTTGAGATGGGGTTTTGCTCTGTCACCCAGGCTGGAGTGCAGTGATGCAATCACAGCTCACTGCAGCCATGAACTCTTGGGCTCAAGCTATCCTCCAGCCTCAGCCTCAGGAGCAACTGAGATTACAAGCACCTGCCACTGAGCCCAGCTTCATTGCATCATGTGGTTAAAATCTGTTTGTAAATTTCACCTAAACAAACCTCTTTAGTTAATGAGATGCATAATGGAATGTTTAACAGTGACATATACTGATGATGTCTGCAACTTACTTTGTAATACACTCCCCCCAAAAAAGACAGGAGGATTGATGGGGAGTTAGATGGATAGATCTGTGATAAAGCAAATATAGCAAAATGCTCATTGTAGAATCAAGTGGTAGGGTATATGCGGATCGTCATTAGATGATTCTTCTAACTTTTCTGAACATTTGAAATTTTTAATAAGATGCTGAGGAAGAAAGAGGCTTGTCTTAATGAACTAGACCCTCATGCGATCCCATCCGTAAAACTAGGAAACATAATGCTGAGTGAAAGGGACCAGGCTCCGAAAATAACCCATACATGCTACCATTACATACAGTTCACAAACAGGCAAATTGACTGATGCTGTCAGAGGCAGGAATGTGACTACCCTTGGTGGTGAGGAGGGGAGACTGGGACAAGAACCAAAGGCACTTTTTGGGTAGCAGATGAAGTTCCATGTTTTGATAGCATGAAGTGTGGGTGTGGGTTACACTCACTCTTAGGATAATGGCCTCCAGTTCCATCCAAGTTGCTGCAAAAATTCATCAGACTTTGTCGAATTTGTGTTCTTTACTGCATACATATCTCAATGGACATGTTTGGTTGTTTTGAGGCATTGCCCACATTTCATATCTTGCAGGAAGGAAGTCTCAGCTCTTTCTTTTTCTTTTTCTTCCTTCCTTCCTTCCTTCCTTTCTTTCTTTCTTTCTCTCGCTTTCTCCTTCCTTCCTTCCTTCCTTCCTTCCTTCTCTCTCTCTCTTCCTTCCTTCCTTCCTTCCTTCCTTCCTTCCTTCCTTCCTTCTTTCTCTCTCTCTCTCTCTCTTTCTTCTTTCTTTCTTTCTTTCTTTCTTTCTTTCTTTCTTTCTTTCTTTCTTTCTTTCTTTCAGACAGAGTCTCGCTCTGTCGCCCAGGCTGGAGTGCAGTGACACAATCTTGGCTCACTGCAACCTTTGCCTCCTGGGTTCAAGTGATTCACCTGCCTCAGCCTCCCGAGTAGCTTCGACTACAGGTGTGCGCCACCACATCCAGCTAATTTTTTGCATTTTTAGTAGAGAGGGGGTTTCACTGTGTTAACCAGGATGATCTTAATCTCCTGACCTTGTGATATACCCACCTAAGCCTCCCAAAGTGCTGGGATTACAGGCGTGAGCTACTGAGCCCCGCCTAGCTCTTCTTTAAAATGGCAGGCCAGATGCCATGGCTCATGTCTGTAAATCCCAACACTTTGGGAGGCCTGAGCAAGAGGATTACTTGAGGTCAGGAGTTCAAGACCAGCCTGAGCAACATAGTGAGACCTTGTCTCTATAGAAGATTAAAAAACCAGCCAGGCGTGGTGGTGAGCCCCTGTGGTCCCAGCTTCTCAGGAAGCCAGAGCGGGAGGATGGCTTGAGCCCAGGAGGTCAAAGCTGCAGTGAGCCATGATCAAGCCACTGTACTCCAGCCTGGGCGGCAGAGCGATACCCTGTCTCAAAAATAATAAAATAAAATAAAATGCCACTGCCTGATTTAGAGGTTTCATGGAGTACAGGCAGCGTGCTTCCCTGGTCCTGGGTACGCAGTGAGATGTGTCATTAGGGACCAAGGCCTAGAAGGCTGTGGGTCTTGGTGTTTATTTTAGAAGCTTTCTCTCTTTACGACCCTTACTTGCGTTTCTGAATACACTTTGCAGGAAGCAAAACTCGTGTCTTCCTTCATCCCCAGTGCTTGTGCACCAGTGCATACTCCTCACTAGTATTTCAGGTTCTCGCGTGCTTGGACCCAAATCCCATTTTTTATTTATCATCTTACTGAAAGTTTAATTTATTGAAGGCCTTTCCTTCTAGCAGCTCAAGGAACTTTTCTCAGAACACTTTAAACATGAAACAGAAGCCTTCATTCTCTAGCTGTAATGAGGGGATCAAAAGAGAGGGAGAGAGATGAGAGGAGGGTGGTAAACTGAGGCAGCATTGAATGGGAGGTGCAGAGGCTGAGGAAACGGGACAGGGAGTGGGAGGCAGTGGTCAATTACAGCAAGAATAGAGAAACTAAGGTTTTCTGGATATGCACGATTCATCCAGATTTTTTTTTCCGTAGCTTTAGGGGTTCATGCAGTTTTGGGTTACACGGACGAATTGCTTTAGTGCACGCATCACCAAAATAGTGTACGTTGTACAGTGTAGGTTGTGCCTAATAGGTGACTTTTCATCCCCTAACCCCTCCTAATCTTTCGCTTCTGAGTCTCCAATGTCCATTATCCCACTCTGCCTGCCTTTGCATACCCATAGCTTAGCTCCCACTTTTAAGTAAGAATATGTGGTATTTGATTTTCCACTCCTGAATTACCTTACTTAGGATAATGGCCTCCAGTTCCATCCAAGTTACTGCAAAAAACATTATTTCGTTCCTTTTTATGGCTGAGTAGTATTCCATGGTGTGTGTGTGTGTGTGTGTGTGTGTGTGTGTGTGTGTCACATTTTCTTTCATCATGATTTTTGAGTCCACAAACCATGTAAACGCTGGGACCATCCCACCTACCATGATGACCTTTTGGGGTAAATTATTAAAATGATGACATCCAGCTGGGCACGGTGGCTCATGCCTGTAATCCCAGCACTTTGGGAGGCTGAGTCTGGCGGATCACTTGAGGTCAGGAGTTCAAAGCCAGCCTGGCCATCATGGTGAAGCTCCATTTCTACTAAAAATACAAAACTTAGCCGGGTTTGGTGGTGCACGCCTGTAGTCCCAGCTACTCAGGAAGCTGAGATTGGAGAATCCCTTGAACCCGGGAAGTGAAGCTTGCAGTGAGCTGAGATTGCGCCACTGTACTCCAGCCTGGGCGACAAAGCAAGACTCCATCTCAAAAAATAAAAACAAAGTAAAATGATGACATCCAAATCACAGTTTCTCTTACAAGTATAGTTCACTGGAATGTTGAGCACACAAGCTGATTGTGGGTGTCTTGGGGCCCAAAGCTGGGGGGTTGAGGAAGGCTTTTGCAGGGGTGCTGACCACCGGGATGCCTAGGAAGCTTCCAGAACAAGGGCTGAGGGAAGAAAGAAGCTTGGGCTGTAGGAGGCTGCAGGATTTGATGCGGGGCACCCTGTCCCCGCATTGCAGGGACAGGGCCTGGAATTTCTTCAGAAATTCGCCTAGACTTCTGGAGCCAGAGCCCTGGAGAACCTAGAAAGGGGATAGCCCCTCCCAAGGCACCACCTGGATTCTGCCTGGGGTCACATCTGGGTGGGGACTGATGCCCAGGCTGGTTCACCCTCACCTAGAGGGATGCGGGTGGCTTGGCCGCCTGAGACTGGCCTTGGTCTCCCCATCCAGGACCCCCATCTGTCCCCAAGCATCTCCGCCTTAGGCTCTGTCCCCACTCCCACCCCCACCTCTTTACCTCCCTCCTCCCAGAAGCACGGACTCCGCCCCCTCCTTCTCTTCCTTATCTTTTTCTAACCTTTCGCATTTTTTAGTCTCATTTCCTGTCGGGTTTTGCATTTCCCTCCCTCGCCCCTCCCAGCCTATGACATACTTTCTCTGCTTTTTTCTCTCCTGCCTTCTCTGGCCTTCGGACTCCTGCCCGCTCCACCCGCAGCTCCCTCCCGCCCTGTAGCCCCTGGGCGGGCGGCGCCCCTCGGCGGACGGGTCTGGGCCCGCGGGGACGGAGGGCCAGGTCGACTGGAGGAAGCCAGAGGCCTGCATGGAGGAGACGCCCCGCGCAGCTGGCAGAGCATGAGCGCCCCAGGTAGGCACAGTGGGGATGGGGGGCTGGCGGAGGGGGAGCACGAGGTGGGGAGTTGGGGGAAGACAGGAGGACACGGTGAGGAGATGGGGGGCATCAGTGAGATGACAGAGTGGAGGGGGCGTTCAGGGATGGGAGTGGCTCCTGCTGGCCCCAAGATGGGATGCTGGGGCATCCTTCCCTCTCCATCTCTGTCCCCTTGTCCCCCTTCTCTCTCTCACTCTCCTCTCCCCTTTTTCCCTTCCGACCCTTTTTCTTCCTCACTTTCCACCTCGTGTACCTCTCCTCCGAGTCTCTCTGAGCGTCTCTGAGTGTCACCGCCGATCAAAGCCCCCACCTCCTCCTACTGGACAGGAAAGAATCGGGGTCAGGAGGCTGGAGCCCCGGAGGGTGCCCCTCGGTGCACCTGCCCCAGAGGGAGGAAGAGAAACTGTTCTGACACCTGACAGGCCCGGAAGTTTGCAGACCACAGCCCAGCCTGACTCAGAGGCTCCTGGGAAGGTGGGGCCTGGCTCAGGGAGGAGGGACAACCCCACTAAAAGGGGGTGGGGAGCTGGGAGAGGACAGCCCCCAGCAGGGATTCTACTAGGAGGTGGATGGCAGGGGCACAGGAGGGGGCCCAGGTTCCCCACTGAAGCCTGGAGCAGGTACCTGAGAGCCACCTTCCCCAGAAGGGCCCCCAGGCCTGATGGGGCCACCGGGCCTTCTGCTGAACCCCCTCTGCAGAGAGGGGCAGAGAGGGCGTTTCTGTCCCTGGGGGGCTCTGAGCACCGCTGGAGGCTGTCATGGGGACCCAGGTTCATGGACAGTGATCTCACTGAGAGCTTCAGGGCCACCCACACAAACTTGGTCTTGGACCAAACTGACCTCTCTCTGCCCGGCCTGCTCTCAGAGCCTTTGATTTGCAGTTCGAAAAATTTTCTCCTGGCATTCATGACTCGTCTTGACGGTATAAGGTTACCAACCTACCAGAAAGGGTAGAAAAATAGTTGATCGGTCATTCTACGTTTATTGAATGCTCAGCCTGTGCACAATGCATGCCGGAAATCCCGGGAGCTCAGAATTAATGTGAGGACAGGAATTTCTCCGCAAGTGTCCATTTCTGTGCTTTCCCTGAAACTCCAGTTCTCTCCCCAGCAAGGCATCTGTAAAGAGATGATAGCCCTGCCTCAGGCCAGAGATGCCCTGAGGGTATCAGTGACCAGGACTCAGCATAGTCAACCAATGCCAGAGAATGCCTGGACCCGTGGAGATTTTACTTGCCTGGGTATCAGGCAGGCTGTGGCTCTACTGGCCCCAGCAAGCTTTGGTTCATGCATGAATGATCCTTTATGTGATTTTTTTTAAAACTCGTGGTGAAATACACATGACATAAAATTAGCTCATTGAACCCTTTTGAAGTGCACAGCTGAGTGGCGTCAAGCACATTCACCTTGTCTGTCGGTTGTCACCACCATCCAGCTCCAGAACTTTCTCATTCCAAATTGAAACTGTGTTCCCTGTTAAACAACAACTCCCTACCTCCCTCCTCAGCCCCTGGCAGCCACCCTTCTACATTCTGCCTCTAGGAATCCGGTGACTCTCGGAAGCCCATCTAAGTGGGCTCATACAATTTATGTCCTTCCCGTGCTTGGCTTATTTCTCTGATCCTCGTGTCCTCAAGGTTCCTCTGTGTTGTAGCTTGTGACCGAATCTCCTTCCTTTTTCAGGATGAATAATGGCCTATCATGCAAATAGACCAGATTTTGTGTATCTGCTCATCCTTTATATGATTTTAAAAAGTGACTTCTGGCCAGGAGTGGTGGCTCACGCCTATAATCCCAGCACTTTGGGAGGCCAAGGCGGGCAGGTCACCTGAGGTCAGGAGTTCGAGACCAGCCTGGCCAAAGTGGCAACACCCTATCTCTACCAAAAATACACACACAAAATTAGCTGGGTGTGGTGGCATGCACGTGTAGTCCCAATTACTTGGGGGGCTGAGGCAGGAGAATCGCTTTGAACCCTGGAGGCAGAGGTTGCAGTGAGCTGAGACGGTGCCACTGCACTCCAGCCTGGGCCACAGAGTAAGACTCCA